CTGCAGCTCTTGACAACTGATTCCTCCCTCCATGTTGTATTATTGTCATTAGTAAATAAATAGGCTCATGTCTCTCTCATCTTTTTTTTTTATTTTATAACAGTTTATTTTTACATCATTTTGTACATTTTTTTTTCCATCTCAATTGTAATCCCTGCGGGTTTCTCATCACCAAGTCACCCATGTGCCATCACCATAATCCCGTGCACTTCCCTCCCCCCCCAACCCCCCCCCCCCCGTTTTTGGTTGTCTCTTCCATCTTTAAACCTCACCTCCTTAATCCCTCAGCAGCATTTGGCTGCCATGCCATCTCTCTGTCACTTTCCTTTTCCAGCTTTTCAATACTTGTCTACACATATTGTTTCTATTTCCTTTTTCACATCTTGACTCCACTGAGACCAATTTCTCCCACTTCTCAGCTGAAAAGGATCTTGTTAAGTATTAGCCAGGCTAGACCAATGGCTATAACAAACAACCTTCCCAATTTCATGGCACAACACAATTCAGACTGAGCTGGCAGGGACAAGAGGGCAGAGGGGACTCTACTCCATGCAGTGACCCAGAGACTCAGGCTGTATTCCCAAGTGGTTCTATCCCCCACCCTGGGACCTCGGAAACCATTTGTTTAGCTGCCACATAAAGGAAAATATTGCGTGGCAAGATTATGTGGGTGATTTAGGGGTCAAGTCCTGAAAATGGCTTATATTCTGCTTACAATCTGTTGACAATGTTTCAATTACATCTCCTCACCATTCTGAAGGGAGGTTGAGAAAGAGAGCTTGGCTCTGCCCAAGAGGAAAAATAAATGGTTTTATTAGCAAACAGTATTGTCTGCCATGGTCCCCAATGACTTCTATGTTGCTCTACCCATTGGATACCATTGTGTCCTCATCTTACTACTTTACCTCTTAAAAGCTTTCTAAATAACTGATCATGTCTTCCTTCTTACAAGCCATCCTCCTAGTTTTTTCCTTACCTTGGCCCCTTCTTCTCAGTCTATTTTGAGATTTCCTTATCTCTACCCAATATCTAAATAACTAGGGTAGAAGTATTCTCTCTCCTCCATTTTCCATCCCAGGCTGAAATACCCTCTGTAGCCTGGGGACTCTCTGGGGTATACCTCTGATTTTTACCTTTCCTCTAAGTACCAGTCTTGCATTATTGACCACACTATATCTTCATTCAGATATTTCACTGGAATCTCAAATAACATTTATAGAACTGAGTTCTCAACTCCTTCCACTTCCCATCTCTGACAACAGGCTGTTTTTTCCCAAATATCCCTCTTCTTGTGGTCATTCACCCACTTAATAAGCCCTATCTTAGGAATTAATTGATTTCTCCTCTGCTTCTTGCTTAAATTCCATCTTGAATCTATCACCAAGATCCATAGATTCATGTTAAAAATACAACTATAAGGTGTCAGGCCTGTGGTGTTCACCACTGTACACAAAGCACTCGGCAAAGTGCCTGATACACAACAGAGGTCAATAACCATTTTTGGAACAAGTGAATGATAATGCATGAGTGGTTAAATGGTGTGATTCTTGCTCCATGGGTGTTCACAGCTGGATAGGGAAGACCAGCAAGTTGATAAATGCTTGGTTGTGTATGACACTGACAGATATTTAAGGTATTCTAAGGCTATGTGGACTGGAGATGTCAATTCTGCTTGGGGAGGAGTCAGGGAAGACTTTGAACAAGGAGGTGACACGAAGCAGGGACTTGAAGGCTAATTAAAGATGAGTCCAGAGAGATGAACAGAGACAGGCATCTCATACTGAAGACACTGATAAATGAATAGTGGAACTCATTGCTGTTGGGGCCATTAGAACAATAGACAAGACTGTGTGTGATTGAGTGTCAAACCACATGTCACAGACCACAAGGGCTTTGTGAGGTGAGAGGGTGAAGGTGACTGGCACATGGTGGGTTGTCAGTGGGTAGTGGTGGAAGGGATACAGGCTGGCTTACAAGGACAATAATGGGTTGATTGGAGTCATTACTGTGCCTTGAAATGGAAAACCATTGTCTAAATGGAAGACAATATGCTAATAAAGGTCATAATTAATATTAATGAGAAGACAGTTACCGATGATGAAGATCACTCAGGGGAAGCGGACATCAGGCGGATGAGGAGCTGTGTCTAACACTCCAGTAGGCCATTTTGTCTGGCTTTACCACCGTGGGAGGCAGGGAAGGAGAGCAGAGAATGGGTTTCATGACTCACATAGTTCCTGGCAGGAGGCTGCCTTCCTGCTAGGCCTTGTCTAGCTACCCTGGTGGAGGGCTGGCTTTGGAAGGGAACCCTCCTCCCTGAGAGACAGTAGGGTCTGATCTCCAGGACAGGTCTGCCTGAGCTCTGTTAGGGTGAGAGCTGGGTCTCAAGCATGAGGCTAGTTCTCAAGGATTTACCCCATCTTCCTTCCTTCCTTCCCAGATCCTGCGTGAGTGAAAATACCGCAGGGTTAGGAAATTCAAACTGAGTATATGTTGGTCTGGAAAATGTTTGTCTAGGTGGACTGGTGACTGCTAACACCCAGGACAGTATGTCTTGGGGGCAGGAAGCCAAAGCAGTGCCTTAAAGAAGAAGTGAAGGGAAGTCACAGGGTAAAGTCTCTTCTCTGCTCTGGAGGATAGCATGTGTGGGTAATCTGTGGCCCTTTCTCTTGAGTGTCAAACCACATGTCACAGACCACAAGGGCTTTGTGAGGTGAGAGGGTGAAGGTGACCGGCACATGGTAGGTTGTCAGTGGGTAGTGGTGGACTCTCTCATGAGTCTGCTTCCGTCACCTTGTTTACTGTCCACATACTTCATGTTGGTTATCTTAAGATGATGGTAGAGGTAGAAAAAAACATAGCATCTTTTACTGATTGTTCTAAGGCCTTTCTGTCAGTTGACTTATTTAACCTCTCAATAACTCAGAGGTTACTTTTGTCATTCTCATTCCACACCTACAAAGACTGAGACTCAGAGAAGTGAAGTAGTTTCTCCAAGGTTACACAGGAAGTTGCAGAGCCAGGATCTGAACCAGATTGTGCAATTCCTGGAATTACTGTGGTGCACCAGTTTTCAGGGTGGAACTCAGGGAGGGAAGGAGAGCTCCTGAGACCCAGTAAACCATTGAAGAACTTGACCAGGAGCTAGCTGTCAAAGTCAGTCACTGCTGGGTTATTGGAGCCTCTGGTCTGAGTATGAGGAGCGTTCCAGCTCTGTCATAAGGGTGGAACTCATTGGGCAAATGCCTTCACTTTCAATGCCTTTGTTTTTTTTTTTTTTAAGATTTATTTATTTATGCATACAGAACTGGGGTACAGGCCAGAGATGTGGAGGATGAGAGGATTCACTAGGGACAGAGTGGGGAGCAGAACAGGCAGATTGACGAAGTACATTGCTGAGGGGAGCAGCGGGCAGGTCAGGAGAGGTCTGCCACGCCATGTGGATCACCTCCAGGGCAGGCAGGGATCGAACTCATGATGAAGTGGCTTAAGCTTCTTAGTGCTGTGCTTTAACCCGCTGCGCCACCAGGGAGGGCCTGCCTTTGTTTTTTATATGGTGGGAGAATAATTGATAATCTACAAGGTCATCAGAAGAAATGAAGAAGCACATGCCAATGACAAAGGCATCATAGCAGGTTTCAAATAAGTGAGTTTCTTTTCCCTCTCCTCTTGTGGGTAAAGTTTGCTTCAGGTTACTTTGAGCCCCCCTTTCCATAAATATGTAGAGTGTCTCCAGGTACCAGATCTTCTGCTATGCTCTGGGAGATACACCAGTGAATGAAGAGATTGGAGCAGTATAGGCTGGGGTGAGGGGAGGAAATGACCCAGTGTGATCATTGAGAAACAAACTAGTCCTTCAGAACACAATGCATGATAAAGGAATGTTCTCTTCAAAGCAATAATCTGGAGGGTGCAAGGTAGCCTTAGAGATGCTGATGCCCCACCAGTGACATCAGCTTGGACTCAGCCCGGTGCATGTCCTATATCTGCAAGGGCTGACACTCTGAGAGCAGAGTGTGGGAAAAGGAAAGGACCTGCCTGATGTCATAGAGCTGCTCAGGACAAGGGCAGAGTCAGAAGATGGGACTTTAGATTCCTGTGTTGGAAACTTCCCAACACAAGTGCATGTCCTGTCCTTTTATGTAGCACAGGAGATGGAAAAATTTCCCTAGAGTTACTGTTTATTCAAAACTTTAGCTTGAATGAGTTTGGATTATTATTTTTTAATAACTAAACCCACTTTAGTAGCAGAGAACTAGGGATGTCTATCTGTTGGGTGATCTGCCTGGTGTTGGTTGGCTGGAAGCCAGAGCTGGGTGCACTAAGATCACCACCAAGTGTTAAGGATCTACATTTTTAAATGAACTTTAAACAGAGGCCAAGACTAAGCTATGTTCTGGGAAGAAGAAAGATGCTGAGGCTAATGGACTCCTGTAGTTAAGGCTTTGGACTTTTCAGAGTCAAAGTGTTGGCAAATTGGTCCTCTGGAACTTATTTAACTTTTTGGAGATATGTGAGATTATCTGGAATTCCAATATTCCAATTTCAGAAGTGAGGTTTATTTCTTTCTAAATGAAATTCTAAAGTAGTAACCTAGGGTTTTCACTAGGGCTTTGGGCCGCAGAGCATCAAGGGACTGAACTTCTTGATTGTTGGCTTGAGATCTCCTGCTTGCAAGTAGGGGGCTGGATTGGGTGACCCCTGAAGGACCTTGTTGGCACCAGGATTCCCGGCCCCTCGGTGGCCACGCGGAGGTCTGCGTGTGGCCAGTGATTGCGCGTGTGGACGTTTGCATGTAGTTGGTGGAAGGAGCGTGAATGTGGCTGCCAGTGGGTGTGTCAGAGACGCTAGCGCCTGGGGCCGAGCCCGCTGCGCCCACTTGTGGCTCCCAGGAACCGCCAAGAGAAACCGCGTTGAGACCGCCTCTGCCTAGGACACCGCCCGATAGGAGGAGGACCTAAGGCTGAGGACACGAGGGCGCAGTCTCCCAAGTGCTGGCAGCGCGTGCTGCCTCACCGCCTCCGCCGCTCAGCCCCGGACTCCTTACGTCAGGGTAGCTGGGTCCCCCCTCCGCGCGGGAGCCTGCGAGCATCGGGAGAGCAGAGCACAGCGCGCCACTGAGCCCCGGCGCCCACATTGCGCGCTCAGCCCGGCGGAGCCAGCCAGGAGGCAGAGCTGCTGAGACCGCACCGGACGCCGCACCGCACCCAGCGCTCGCCCGCGACCGCTCCCCCGACCCGAGGGGCACTGGGCTGGGTCTGTGAGCTCTCCCGCCACGCGCGCCGGGCTGCGCGGTACTCCAGAGCAGCTCCCGCGTGTTGGGCATCGGCGCCTGGGCCCGGGCACCTCTCGGCGAAGTAGTTGAGTGCCCAGAGCAGGGGGTCGCCACGTCGGGGGCCCGGCCTGGACCGGTGGAGCCGGCCCCCGAGTGCGGGGAGCGGGGCCGCCCGCGACGCCCCACCATTACCTCCCCGGGAGGCAAGGAGGAGCTGGTGGCGGTCGCTTCCCGGCTGTGGCAGCGGCGGCGGCGCGCTTGCCTGGCGGCCGTCGGCGTACTCCTAGCCATGGCAATAGGACTGCTCATCGCCTTACCGTTGCTGCTGCAGGCTGCGCCCCCCGGCGCTGCGCACTATGAGATGATGGGCACCTGCCGTATGATCTGCGACCCGTACAGCGCCACACCCGGCGGGGGTCCCGCCGGGGCCAAGGCGCCGCCGCCGGGACCCAGCACCGCAGCTCTGGAAGTCATGCAGGACCTTAGCGCCAACCCCCCGCCCCCTTTCATCCAGGGACCCAAGGGCGACCCGGGGCGGCCAGGCAAGCCCGGGCCGCGGGGGCCACCTGGAGAACCCGGCCCGCCTGGACCCAGGGGTCCCCCGGGGGAGAAAGGCGACTCAGGGCGACCTGGGCTGCCAGGGTTGCAGCTGACAGCGGGAACGGCAGGTGGTGTCGGGGTGGTGGGAGGCGGAACCGGGGGTGGCGGCGACTCGGAGGGCGAAGTGACCGGCGCTCTGAGCGCCGCCTTCAGCGGTCCCAAGATTGCCTTCTACGTGGGTCTTAAGAGTCCTCACGAAGGCTACGAGGTGCTCAAGTTCGACGACGTGGTCACCAATCTCGGCAATCACTACGACCCCACCACCGGCAAGTTCAGTTGCCAGGTGCGAGGCATCTACTTCTTCACCTACCACATCCTCATGCGCGGTGGCGACGGCACCAGCATGTGGGCGGATCTCTGCAAGAACGGGCAGGTCAGTGACTCCCTTACCCCCATCCTCGCTGGCCTTAGCCATTTCCGTAGACTCTGTCCCCACACGAGCCTCAGCCGCCTGGGAAAACTCTCCTGGGGACCATAGGGAGCCCTGGGAGGGGGCGCACCTCGGCATATAACTTCCAGTGCTCCCTGGCTGCCTTTATTTGAAAGTTGCACTGAAGATTGGGGCCCCAGGTGCCCAGAAACCAGGTACCCAAAAAGCATTCTCGGGATACTTGCATACCGGCCAGTAGCCTGAGGAGTTCTGAAACCTTAGTCTTTAGCTCTCCTTGTGTGCCTGGGTTAACCCCCTTGCCTCCAGTTTCCTCTCCTCTTTGCCGTGGCCCCTGATTTCTTCTTCCTGGATTTGTCCCCGGGAATGCAAGGGGTCGGAGAGGAGTTGGAGAGAGTTCAGGGAGCCTGTAGGTGGGAGCATGAGCCCCCAGCAGACTTCCAAAGGCCGGCCCGGGGCACACTAGGTGAGGCTGGGGGAGGGCCCAGGTAGAGGTGCTCCAGCCTACTGGCTCTCCGGCTCGTCCCCAGGTCCGGGCCAGCGCCATCGCGCAGGACGCAGACCAGAACTACGACTATGCCAGTAACAGCGTGGTGCTGCACCTCGATTCTGGGGACGAGGTTTATGTGAAACTGGACGGCGGGAAGGCGCACGGAGGCAATAACAACAAGTACAGCACGTTCTCCGGCTTTCTTCTGTACCCCGATTAGGGACTTGGGGAACACGAGGGGTGGCTTCAGACTGCCCTATGCCCCCTGGGGAGCGCTGTTCTTTCGTGAGGACCACTCACTTCTTGACACTTCCTGACATCTCCGTTGGAAAAGACAAGTCCCTGCTGTTCTCCTTGCCCCAGACCCAACCTCAATGTGTCTGCGATGCATCACTTTCAGGCTGTACACCTGGTCCCTGTCCCCAACCCGGGGAGGGAAAGGGGTATGACTGAGTGGGAAATGAGTGTGAATCTGAATCCTGGACCTTGCAGCAGTGCTCAGCACAGACTTTGTAAACCTGTGCTGAACGGAACCTGATTGAACTGAACAGGTCTGCCGCCTGCCCTCTTCCCATCCCCCTCCTCATCCAAGTGCTCTGAGCCTAGGGCTGTAGCCCTGGTTAGCCAGGTAGGCCAAAGTGAGTGGGAGCTCCCGAGGGTGTCCTTTTTTGTGGCCCAAACTTGTGCAGATTTCCTCATCACCAACCAAAACACCATCTGCAGCAGAACCCCAACAAATGGAGAATTCACATCCCCATTGCACTCCCAACTCAGCCACACCACATTGCATTAAATGATGTTCTTAGATGAATGACTCTGATGTCTCTGTCAGCTTGGCCACTGGACCTGGGCTCCAGACGTCCACCTTGGTGTAAAGACCTCAGCTGGGTCCTCAAAAGTCCCATCTATGTCCTGCTTGCCAGCCATTGCCTTGTATCTGCCCCCTAACAAGGGTGAAAAGAGGTAGAATAACAGCATCCCACTATTTGGGGGGCTCTTCCTGGGCCCACAATTGGAAGGACCAAGCAGGATGTCAGGGGCAGAGTGAGAGGCTGAAGGGAGGGGACCGGGAAATCTGATCTCCCAGCCTGTGGCAGGAGGTTAAAGGGTAGGAGTTGCCTTTTGAGGGAAGGCAGGAAAGAGGAGCCATTTTTGCAGGATGGGAGCTATGAATCAGGATTTTGCTGGCAAGTGACATTTGCCCCTAAAGGCAGTGCAGAAGCCCTGGCAGAAATTGACCCACTCGATCATGTAGCGTACTCAGCCCTTGTCTGTCTATTCACTCTATCTCTCTCGAAAAGCTGGTAAACTGAGGTAATTCTGTGGCTGGTCCAGCTTTCTGAATTCACCTAGTACAGTGTGTCATGTAAGATAGACAATTGCTCCCAGGGGAAGGGACAGCCACTTTTCTGGGGTCTTTTCTTCCTTGCACAGTGGTGTGAGGTGCCTGCTCTGAAACCCAATGTGTTCGTTTGGTCTTCTTTCTTTACTTTCCATGGATGATCCACAAACAGCTTAAGAAAACATCGGGCTTCAATTTTTTTCTTACTCTCGTTTTTAGGTCATTGAGTTCTAATAAATATTATTTACAAGAAACCAGTTGGCAACCTATAGTTCTTACTGAGCTCTTTTTAATCAGTTTGAAGAGAAATGTGGGTCCACATCAAAGGTTCATTTGTGTAAAACTGGAGACCTGCACACATGCACACCATGTGGACATAATGTTGTGGTCATCATCACTAATCCGTGTTAAATACCTGCGCACACTTATTTACCGGTCAATGTCAGTGTACCCTAAGACCATTTTCACGGTTCTATGCCTGTTCCCAAATTGCATTGTGCTCAACTTTCGTTCCTGGAGGATTCTGAAAGCTGTGATTCCCATTTAAAAGACAATTACACCCCCTGCCTGGAGTCCTGTTGATGTCGTGGATTCTTCTTTATGCTCTTATTTATTTGGAAAAGGTTTTATTGTCATTCGCTTACATATTAACAATGATTGTATCTGCTTTGAATCCAGGAACAAAGTACACAAAGACAGCTAGGGGAAAAACAAATATGTATACAAATCACCAGCCCCCAGTTCTGGACCCAAATGGAACCTCAATTCCTCAACCCTGTCCTCCCACTCCTGACGATTGCGGACCCCAAACCCAGTTGAGCCCAGGAACTGCAGTGTGCAAAGTTGTTCCCCATCTACAGTTATATACATATCAATTTCTGAAGCCTTGTTGATTGTATCATCCAGAAATGCGATTAAAACCAAATGTCTGAGACCCAAATGAAGTCTAATTGCTATGGATCTGCAATCCCCAGTGGGCCCCTAATCCTTTTTGACTTATTCCTCCCCTTCCTCCGATGAGATGGAGCTTAGACACAAAGCCCTCGGTTTAAATTTCAAAAATTAAAATTGACATGCAGCGGTGGCTTTCCTGGGAGCGGGAGGAATTTCTAAGGAGATGCCCAAACCCAGCTTTATCCTCTGCATTAAGAAGCAATTTGTACTTCTAACAAACCCCCCACCACTCCCCTTTGGCAGAAGGGCAGTCAAAAGGCCTCACTCGCCTGAGTCTGGTTGTTCACAATACTTAGAAAAATTTGAATCGGAGATTCTCCATCTGTATTCCCCCTGCAACTGGGCTCCTTGCAATTCTAATGCCCAGGCTTCTGGGACGTGCTGCCAGAGGTGTCAGCTGCTAAGAGGATGACAGATTGATGAGGTGGCAGGGAAGGGGGGCCTAGGGCATGACCAGCTCTGGAGCAGCCTCCCTGCATCTGCACACTCGCCCTGTCTGGACAGCCCGTGTAGCCCCCTGGGGTCCGTGATGACATGACGTCTCCGGAGGACTCTATGTCAAGGGAGCAGGCTGAGGTAGGGTGCGTGTGTGCATGGGGGGGGGGCGTGTGGGGGGAGACCAGGTTTCCCACCGCTGCCATGGTGGGGTACATGTGGGCTGCAAGAAACTTTTGGCTCCAGACACTTATCTCTTCATTCTCTCATTCAGCAGGGAATTATCAATCATATTTGTAAAGAATCGTTGTGATTTCCTAATTGCTTTTGGGTCTATTTTCTAATGTGTGCTTACATTGGGATCATCATAACGGGCTTCTTCTAGATTGTTCTGTTCATCTGAGGTGGGAAAATCAGATCTCAGACAAGTTCAGCATCTTGTCTAAGTGCAAAGCTCGTAAGAAACTGAGTTGGGACTAGAACACAGACTTGTGGGACCTATCCCTTCCTGACCACCCAGGTGGGCACATTAACTCTTAGACTTCCCAGACCTTTGAGAGGAGACCTAATGGGTACAACAGGCTTCCCATCCTTTCCTCCCATCTAGGGAGCCTCAGCACCCTCGAAGTGTCAGATAAGACACAAAAAGCCAGCCCTGCTTTTTGGCCCACACCACCAGAAAGTACCCAGACAGAGGTTCCCATTCCTCAGGAACTGGCTGAACACTCTGGTCTTGGGGTCACTGATGATGACTCTTAGGCCACAAACTTCAAATGTTCCATTTGGACCTGTTTCTTACCAGCAACTACCACCCTGCCACCACTTTCTCCCTAGTACCACTGACCGCCTTCTCCTATAACAGCTACAACTTGTCCCATGTAGTGGTGGAGAGGTGACATCTCGCAGATACAGAGGGTTCAGCTGAAGTGACCATGGCGACCTCTGATTGGTCAGAAGGCCCTTCATTCATTCTCAGAGCCCCATCTATAAATAATTATTTTTAATTATTTAAAATGTGCCTGAATGTGTGAGATACCTACCTACTCCTAGAAATTTGGATCAAAGTTATGCCTTCTGCTACATTTTCCTCCTATCTGTGTAAGCAGATGGCTTTTGCAGGCACTCAAGGCAAATGTCCAGGTTTCCCTCCATACTGAGCTATGATGACACCATGGAGGGGGCACATTGTGGACATGGGGACTCCCTCTTCTTCGATTGTGCAATCCAACTGGACAAACATTTTTGAACACACATACCTGGTCTAGGTATGTGACTTATCAGCAATTGTATACTAATGTCATTCCAGACTTTCATTTCTATTATCTTGTATTTATAGTCATCAGACAAACCAGACATTCACATTAGCCACTGGCTAACCAAGTCTGGAAACAGATCACCTCTCACTGGAACAAAAGGAAATAAGTCTTAATCCTGTGTTTCTCTTTAACTGGCCATTTCCCAGAATCTTAGACTAGGAAATATGTTCTTTTGACAGACATAGGTAAGTCTGTGCACTTTCATTCTTTGAATGCACAGTTTCAAACCATAATTGTAGTAGTAGTGATGCTTCCCACCCTCCTTTTTTAGATTAAAAAATAAAAATTAAAACTTCAATATTTCTTTTTTTATATCTCATTTTGAAGCTCTGATGCTGGCATTGGAACCAACTCATAAAATCAGGAAGATTTGAGATCTCCCAGGTCCTTCTGGAAGTTGGGGAGGTCATATGAATCTGGAGGTGGAAATGAGAAACTTTGGGTGGATTTGCTTTCCTGTAATTGTCATATGTCAATTCCCATCCTGTCCCCAAATAAGCTTGGATCATATATAATACGAGCAGCTACTTTAAAAATAATTTTTCATAAAAATTTCAAAAATACCTACAAATAGATAGACTATTATACTGAGCCTCCGAAGTGGCCAGTCAGGATAGTCTGTGGGTTTTCATTGACTGAGACATTCTAATGTACCCAGAATTGGTGCTGAGGCACGGTTGTTTCCTCACCCCCCTGTGGGTGAAATAAGCATTGTTTTGTCCCATTTTACAGATGAGGAAGGTGAGGCTCAGCAAGGTGAAACAACTCATGTAAGATGGTCCCAGAGGTCAGCTCTTTGAAGGAAATGGGTGGGACAGGGAAGTTAAACCACAGGAGGGGGAGGGGCTCATTGGTGAAACCAGCTTCTCCATCAAACTCTCTGAAGGCAAAGCCACTGCTCAATTGTAATCAGTTTGTTTCCAGAACTTCTCATTCTTCTCATTCTCTGTTCCATGTTAACAGTCATGCTGTTCCCTCTGCTTGAATCCTTTCTTCTGGGCTAGATCTCATCTCTCCAGGAACCAGCTGGCATTTGCTACCAAAGCCCCCCACCCCAACCCCCTACCCATGGTTACCCATGGGTTTCTACATCTCTCTGGCCCTGAAGGTCCCTAGAACGCTGACCTCCTGTGGGGCTGCCATCTGGCTGCAGTCATGATGGCATGATTTGTCTGTCTTCCCAGTGGTAGGTAGGCTTCCCTTGGGGCAGACCCAACATCAGTGTGAGTGACCTCTGAACCATCTCTGCCCCATCCCCAGCCTTGCATTTGTAAGGATTGTGTAAATGGGGAAGATGGTGTGTGAAGGAGCATTTATTACAATCTTCAGGGCTGTGGTTCCAACTCTAGGACTTTGCGGAAACTTCCAATTGATGTGAACCTTCCAGTTAAAGCCACCCAATGGCTTCATTCTCCATCCCCAGCCTCTCCAGACCATCTCCCAGGCTTCTGGGGCTGCTTGGGCATTAGCTTCACTTCAGCAAGTTCCCTCAATTGGTGCTGCTGTTATCACAATTTTTTCATTTTAGCCAAATGATAAACATCTTTTGCAAAACTGTTACTGCAATATGAACCTGCAAAAAAAATCTAAACAAAGACATATTAAAACATATTAAACAGGGCCCTCCCTGGTGGCGCAGCGGGTTAAAGCACTGCACTAAGAAGCTTAAGGCCACTTCAGCATGAGTTCGATCCCCACCTGCCCCGGAGGAGATCAACATGGCGTGGCAGACCTCTCCTGACCCGCCCGCTGCTCCCCTCAGCAGTGTACTTTGTCGATCTGCCTGTTCTGCTCCCCACTCTGTCTCTGGTGAATCCTCTCACCCTCCGCATCTCTGGCCTGTATCCCGTTCTGTATAAATAAATAAATCTTAAAAAAAAAACATATTAAACAGAAAGTAAAAATACCCTCTCTCCTTATGCAATGTCTGTTGAGATAACATCATTTAACAACTTGGTTTGTATTCTTCCAGACTTTTCAAATGCACCTGTGTCCGTGAGGAACATGTAACTCTACCTGCTCCTGATCTTGCCTCTCACTCAGGAACAATTTTAGGGGGTCATTTGTGCAAAGGTCCTGTACACCTTTGATGGTGGTATATGTGATTGTGCTGTTGGCAACATGCTTAAAATGGCTGAACAAATCCTCCACTAGACCTGGAAGCTGTTTGGGACATTCTGTGGCAACAGAGGAACAGCCTTTGCTAACAGATTGATCTTCCACTTAGATGCAGGTTCTGCTCTCATGTTGCAAAACCCTGCTTTATTTTCCAATCAATATAAGCAATGTCTTATTCAATTTGCAGATTATCCAAGTGCTTCTCCTCCTTCTGTTCTCACTAGCTCCCCCTTGGTATGTTTTCTATCCTAACAACCCCTCCACTGGGACTGAATGGATTGAAGAAAAAGATGTACTTCAGACAGCCCAGCTTTGCTCCTGCTGGCATCGGAGAAGGGGGATTCTGGGCTGTGTGAGTGTGTGTGTCCTCTGTGGGGTGGGGCACTGACAGCCTGTGCTCTGTTTTCCAACAGGATGAACCTTGGCTGCTACCAGTGTTGCTCTCAGCTTTTTTTTTGTGAAAGCTCTCACCCATTTCAGGGAGGGTGAAGGCTCACAGAGGGAGGGCTTCTAGATCTCAGGATCCTGACGGCATCGGAGGGCTTCATGGAGAGAGGCCACTCTTGGTTTTGACTCTTGGGTAACTGATGGGTGGAGCCATGCCTGTTCTTGGTGCATCTCTGCTTGCTCATACGGGCTTTTGTGGAAGTTAGCAAATGTAGCCTCTTCCTATGGGTTTTGAAGGGCCATAGTTTTGGGAGTACAAAACTAGCAGGAACTCGGCTAGTTAGCTTTGTCACCAGGTCCCTAGGACTAAGAGCTGGAGAATGCCCCCTTCTTGTTGTCTCCATTACTTCCTTATCATTCCCATGTCCAGAGCGGGTGCTGTTGCCTTTCCCCTTCACATGGCATCTGGGGGTCGGGGAATGACTTTGGGTGGGGCCCCGTGCCCTGACGCCTGATGTCTCCAGGCCAGCTAAAAGACTGACGCAGGCCCGGGATGCCAGGTCACATTGGGCACCTGACGTGTGCCCTGGAACCAGAGGGAGCAGTGGGCAGCAGCTGAGTGCACCAAAATAGCCCAGCCCTTTAAAAGCAACCAGGTCACGACGCAGAGTGGAAAGAGAAACAAAGTGGTTTTAACCATTTTTTTTTTTTTTTGGTTGTAGCA